TCTATTTAAATAATAAAGACTTAATAGTATAGTAGAGTTATTATCTAAATATAATTTAAGTAATTATATCTTATAAGCCAGTAGAATACTAGTTTTTTATATTATAAACTATAGGAGGTATATTTATAGCTTAACTATATTTACTCTAATAAAATATTTTACTAGCATTCTCTTTATTAACTATTTATTATATTATTAATTCTTAATATTAAGTTTAAATAAAAATTTAGTTAAAGAAGTTCTCCTAGAAGATAGTAATAAGGCTAAAGTAAGGGAGTCTTAGAAGAGAGAGGTTTTATCTAAATTGAAGTGGGATATAAGGTAGCAAAACGACTGTCTAAGATAGACCGGCAATTATACATTATTAGCTATAGCAAGCGGCAATCACAAAAGGGGTACGCTTCTTAAGCAGCGGGATCCTTAGCTGCCACTTCAGTGTTCCGTGGCAGGAGCGAGATCCTTTTTTACTATGGGTCGAACCGCTAGCGCCCAGACAAAAGCTTGGATCCGTGCATCGTGGATTCCTTCGGCTATTGGTCAGTTAGATGGACGCTAAGGATCACCCTTCGGCCATTGGTCGACAGATCTCAAGCGGGGCCGTACCTGCCCGAAGGGCCCCCGGAGCCTCCGGGAGCCGCTCCGGTAGTTTCGGTAGTTTCGCTAAGACTTTCAGCGTCGGCAGTCTCTAGTAATGTTTAAAGACTGTTGATGAGCTGTTGATGGGTTGCTACAGGCCCGAGTGTGTCGACGTCTTGAAAGCCGAAGGGTTAGCATCATTTACCCCAATAGCGACATCGTCTCACCAGACGTCACCTCCATCGTGTCCGTACGGTATTCATCGCCACAGAGGAGGATCGATCTCCCGTTTCTCAAGAAGCGGAGGCGTTGCGGTGGCCGGCAAGGGATTCTGCTTATGCTTCGCCCCATGTCCGATTTGGATTCATGCGCTGATATAAATATTCTTGAAGAAAGGAGATTAGAGTGGGAAAACATGGGTAACTTCAACGGTGTCAGTTAGATAATGTCTCGGACAGTCAACATGCTATACCACCTAAGCCCATGGGAAAAGATTGAAACATCTGCTCGGCCTGGCTGTTCACAGGGGCCAAGATTGATGTCCAATGCTCTTGGAGTAGGCGCCAAAGACGTGGCCTCGTCGGCAGACTCTTGGGCGTGAAAGTCTGGCCTTGCCCCTGGAGGCCCCGGGAAGCTTTTATTCTGATATGGCCCTTAGTTGTCGCAAGATCCAATAGGTGACGAACCACTCGACTGCCCAATCGCCCAGAACAAAATCGTAAGTTTCCCCCTCTTTGGGTTCACAGCAGAAATGCCGTCGAGAATGAACATCCTCATCGACCCTTCAAGACAAACGAAAACGACCTCTTCTGACATGACCACCAGACCGCACATCGCTGGAAATTTGTAAGGCGATTCGCTTTCTGAGATCCAGACTGCATCGTTCAATGCAGCTGCGCCCAGGGCTTAGAGAATGCGTTGAAATCTACTACTGGTGAAGGACAAAGAGAGATTAAACTCCAGCAAAGGCCAGCCCAAAGCACCCCCGGGGAGGAAACTTACATGCAGTTGAGGACGCAAAGCAACTCATGCCACCAAGCATTGAAGCCGCCAATACCTTGGTAAGCAACATGACGCCTCGCCATGGACTGGACAGAAACAATTGCTGACCCAATCAACCATCCAGATGCTCACAATGACTCCGTCTCCGCATGCGAAGCGACCGTCGTTCTGCAAACCTTGACTGAAACCAAGACATGAATGATGTTCCCTATGGACTTCGGCCACTTGTTCAAACGCCAGCAATTGATCCCGCGAGGTACGCTGTCCAGGGCCCTCAACTGGGTCTTGCTTCGATCGACTCAACTATCAATCCACTAACTGTGTGCTACCCGGTCAGAACATAGAGGAGACGGGTTGTCTAGAACAAGGGAACAATCGATAAAGGATTCAGGGATCAAGGGGTGAAGGGGTGAAAAGATGGAGAGCTGAAGAACAAGGGATCAAGATATTGGGTTTCCCAATCTGAGGAGAGCAAGGTCTTTGAAAATCATCAGAACGGTTGAAACCAATGAAACAGGAGCTTGATGCTGAATCTGATGAGCCTCATGGCCGAGAGGCCGGACGCCGAGATGATCAGTTATCAGGGGTCTGTCAGCGGTCCTGGGGCGGCAGGGTTGCTTGCCTACATACACCGGTCACCTGGCTATTCCTTCAGGCTGGATGGATAATCGAATGCTGGTTTTCTTGCTAGCTAAAACGTTCTTCTCTATTCCATCTTGAAACTGATGAGACGGTTGTCATATCGACATGACTTCCCTGCTGACATCGGACTGTGGCAAGGAGTGCCTCTGGTGAAACAACATGCTCACCTCGCAGCTCCTCGTTTCTCGGGATCTGCTTCTTTTGGTGCCCCCTACAAGAATTAGAAGTTTCTGTTGGCAGTCCGGAAAGGGAAATCATGGGACGCATGGATGATGCGTCACTCAAAAAATGAGAGCATCAAAGGAACGCGTTCCAGCTTTTGCTACAGTCAAATAAAGAAAAGCCCCAAATCCAGCCGGTGGTGGTGGACCTCGTCACAGCAAGGTACCGACCGCAAAGCTCATATCGTGTCTCCTGACGGTGCCACGACCATGGGTCAGACGGCCACGATGGGTATGATTGTAAGACGCACGGCACAGCGCTCATGTTTGGCAAGATGGCCCGAACCGACCCAACGGTCTTAGATTGGCAACATCCCGTAGAGCTGGTCTTTTCTCGAACCCGAGGGAAAAAGCTGTCCGCACCCTGCTCAAGCCATTAGACATAACCACAACAGCGGGTGCCCCGGGATACTGCTTGCGTCCTGAAAATGCACCGCACCATCTGTCTCTTCTTCCGAAACCTCTCTTGGACAGCAGGATGCGGCAAACGTGGGTTCTCATCAGGATGGCGAGAATCGGCCCTCTTCGCAGCGTGCTCATCCGTGATGCGTCAACATCTTTGACTTGTTCTTCGAATGTCAACAAAAGGGATGCAGTATCTCGTCAGGATGATGCCTACGACCTCCCAATACCAGATAGCCACCAGTCTCTTCGCTCGTCTTCGTTCCGAGGCTGCTTCGTGTCGCCCGGAAGGCAGGGACGGCAGACTTTCCCAAGAACCGTGGCTTGGCTCGCTGCTATCAGCAAAAACGTGAATGTTTGGCTGGTCGTGGTCGGTGCAACATGCCAAGTACTCGAAGGATATTCGGTCGTGCCGTGAATGACGCGAGGTGCATGATTGTGTTCTGTTCGCTGGGATTAGGGGTTGGGATTGGGGCGGCCGTCGTTCTCGAGGGCCAGTCCGCGAACCCGCCCTGAGTAGAAGTGAGCTTCGCGTCCGTTGATGCGCTGCGACAGACCCCTCGTGGCCATGACTGGCCATGAGACCTCGTTGCTTGAACGAGACGTATGCACCAGGCGTGCAGCTGCAATGAAGCTCCAAAACTACCAGGTAGCTCATGTAAACTACGGGTGCTGCACGGGGTAGAGATTCAAGCATCCCTCTGTTGGTGACCCTGCATTGCAGATCGCGGGCAACATTGACGGACTCATGAAGGCTTGGAGTGGATTTGGTCCAGCAAGGTCTGCGTACGGCGTGCTTAGCCGCGCAACGGCTCTGTTTTGATTGACATACACCATCCAACGTTGACAGACAGGGCGACTGGACGTACAAGTCTATAAACAGTAGACCGTCGTAAAGGTTGGAGTTATTGCGGTGGTCAAGTTGCATTTGCGTCCCTCACATTGCGCCCTTTCCATGAGCGGCGCAGTCTGAGACGGCCAGAGACTTTGACATGCGAACATCCGTGTTGGCGGATGACTTGATTGCTGACGAACGGGCAAGGAAGCGCGAGGGAAGCCTCCGCAGAAAGCATTTAGGGGCAGCTGTAGACAAGGAGCAGTCCCTGACCTAGGTATAAGCTGGCGATATCAAACCCCATCATCACTTCCACCCATCAAGATGGAACGATTTGTCTCACCATAGTTGGACCTTCAAGTGCCCTTCCAGTTGCTCCTTGCGGCGTTCCTCGGGTCCCGGCAACGCAAAGACTGACTGCATTTGATGTTTGATGTCGGTTGAATGCTGCTCCGGCAAGTAAAGAACAGGCTTTGAAGCTCGAGCTAGACGTGTGGCAAGGTCCATATGTAGGCGAAGAGACAAGTGGCTGCTTGCAACGGCAGAGGCTCGAGACAGCCAACGTCATACACCTGTCAGTTCTTCTTCCTGCCCACAGCCGTTGTTTCGCAAAGCCTCAACAGCTCAACGCTGCCGTGTCCTACTGGGACCACAAGCGTCCACGCAAAACGACCCCAATGATCCGTCTTCCACCACCGTAAAATATCACAGTGAACTCGGATGTCGGTGACAGGATGCCAAGAACGCGTTCGAGAGACTGGAACGGAGACGGACCACCCAAGACAACAGCAGCTCAATGAGTACAACGGGTTTTCAAGCCGCGCATCAAGGAACACGACCACCGCTCATGAGAACCCAGACAGTAGAAGCCCCCATCGTCACTCGAACAGCTGGGTGTACGACAGACGTTCGGCAGATTTGATTCCCGCCCCTTTTCCACCCGGCGCTGAAGAAATCTCCGCTGGTCGAACCTGCTGCGCCCTGGTATACGTGAGTGATTCATCCTTGCCCGGCCCACCGCAACTTCCGCACGCAAACTTCGACACGCAGAACGGGGTGGTAACTAGAGTCATCATCCCCGGAAATGCCTGTGGCGCAGAATACCCCAGTGCCGCAAATGCCAGCGGCCTCCGCTCGACCTAATGGGTGACTCGGGGCGCGGTGGCGGGGAAAGTCGCTAGGGACCGCCGGTGTTTTCGAATGTGATCACCTCCGTACCGGCCTTGCATGCAGTGCTAGTATCTTGGGATCGCCAGAATCCTATTGTATATCGACGATGTGCTTGCTCATTCCCAGCGATTCTTGAATCCCTGATGCCTAGACTAGTTGTGGCGCGTAGACATCGAAGTTGCGAGTGGGAGTTGCGAGTCCGAGTTGCGCCTCGAAGTTGAGCCTCGAAGATCGGCGGCGAATTCGACATCGGAGTTGCGAGTGGGAGTTGCGCGTCGGAGTTGCGCCTCGAAGTTGAGCCTTGAAGTCTTCGCCTCGAAGTTGCGCCTCGAAGTTGCGCCTCGAAGATCGGCGGCGAATTCGACGTCGAGGTTTCGTATCGAGATGGCCGGCCCAGATGGCAGGCCGAGAATCCGCGTCGAGGTTGCGCGTTGGAGTTGCGCCTCGAAGTTTCGCGTCTCGAAGTTCGACGTCTAGGTTGCGCGTCGAGCTGTGCGTCACAGACAACGAGTTGTGAACGTGGAACTTGAGCCCTTCCGAGAAGAAGCAGAAGAAGAAGAGACAGTGGATGCTGACGTAGCATTACTCGCGGCTGAGACGGAGAAGACGGCGACCTTCTCGTCCTTGTTGCCGAAATACTCGAAGCCACGCTCATCGGCCGCACCGACGCAAAGACTTGCACCGTTGCCTCTCACGCAACTCAGCTGCCACCTTGACGACCATGACTTCCCATGCTCTTGCACCCCTGCCGTCACCAAGCGAGAGGCGACCGAATTCCTCGCAGCTTTGGGCTTTCGTCTTGGGTGATGCTTGGCTTCATGCCTCTGCATTGACTTGTCTCTTGGCGTTGATCGAAACACGCTCGAACCGTTGATTTCCCCGACCGGAGACTTTGTCAGAATGACTTGGGCACAATCAGCGTTGTACCGGTCCATGGCGGACTCTGATAAGCAGCAGCACGGTATATTAGAACGGTATACGTCGCTTGCAGCAGGCCATCGATTTCGTCCCTTGGCATTAGTGAGTGTAATCTCACTGGCGAGCCCTCGAGAATGTGCTTGAGCTCGTTTGGACGAGCGCACCCGCGGAAGATCGGAAGTGTCCAAGGAGTAGGGGAGGCGCCGGTCCTTGACCCGAAACGCCGCCCTGCTCGTCGCCGCACAGCATCGCTCCGAGTATATACTTTCATCGTCCTCGTTCGGCCACAGCCGCTGCCCGTATTGTTTCCCGAATCCCGGATCGTCAGGGTTGTTGCGTGGCGTGAGTTGCGTGGCGTGAGTTGCATAGAGGATTGCGTTTGTGGGTTGTAGGCGAGGCGCGAGAGGGAGAAAACCTGTGCCGGTTGGTATTCAAGATCGCACGACGGTGACGTGGCGGTTTTCCGAAGCAACGAGGTCTGCACACATACCTCTGAGGTCCCCCAACAGCGGGGAAAGACATGACGTGAAGAAGCAATTTCGCTATCTCAATCTGGTTCTGCCCAGAAGATGTTGGGCAAGCCTCCTGGCGATGGTGTGGGGACTTGGCGTAGGTCCAAAGCCTTGAGCTGCCAGGCCTTGAATCGGGAAAGACACGTCCTTGCCGCGTGTCCGAGGTCGTCATCCAAGAAGCGTCTGCTGGACGCGCCGGTACAGCCGGTTGGATCTGGAGGTAACCCTGAATGTTCAACGCCGGAAAATCGGCGCCGTTGCAGAACCTGTTGGTCATATCTTTACAAACGCTTGTGTTGAGAGGAGGAACATCAACGCGACAAGTTCGCTTGGCACACCTGGGTACACAGGGCCATGACAGCGGAATGTGTTAAGAATGAGGGCAACGACAAGAGTCAGGGTGTAGAGCAAATCCACGAAACTCGAGATGTTCACGGAGGTCCAGCATAGGTAGAAGGAAAGGAGCCAAGAGAAGACACAAGGCGGGACAGAAAGAAATAAGAAGAAGATTACCCGTTGTACTAGAAGTAAACGCATGGCGGTCTGCTGGGATACCGCTGATACGGCCGATACCCTGTGGTCCCTTGAGCAACTTCGACAATTCGCCGAGCATCATCCTGACGTCGTCGCCCTTTTCATCGACCATGTTCCCATCGAGCCAAAGCTTGGCCCACCTGGACTCCCGCCTGACGATGCAAACAAACACAAGTATTTTCAATGGAATTGGCCGGCATTCCTGCCGTGCGGCCGTCCAACTCCGGTCGCGCCAATACGCGCCTCGGTCCTCCGATCCTCCCGGAACGCCGAAGCTCAGTAACCTCCGCCTTGCGCTAGTTGCGTCTGATATCGTTGGTGACCGTTTCCCGTGCGCGGATCAACTAGGATATCGTGGGGACAAGTTCCCACATCTTCTTTTGCTTTCGGCGAAATTTTGTACCTTGCTTGCCGGTCGGCCATGGTGCAGATGTGCATGTCGAGCGCGCGCGGCGAGCAAATCATTTCCTGCCCAGGATGGCGAATCGAGGAGCTGCAGATGCAGGCGATGTTGGTGGGGTAGCTGGCCGCGGTTGATGGACCGTCTTCAAGGAGGCATTCGACAAAGACATCAGTGTAGGTTACTGACAGGGTCAAAAGGACTTGCGGTGCCGGTTGAGCCTACGGCGATCATCAGTGGCCAAGTGCGCAGTGCGTCTAGACTAGAACCGATGATGCCGGTGTCCTGTCGTAACGACTTGTACCACCGTCGTGGTGGCTGATGTACGAGACGATGTTGTGCTGGATCTCGGGGATCGAGTTCTGCGGCACGACGCGGTAGTTGATGCCGACCTTAATCACCTCCGGCATGGCGTTGATCTCCTGCCCGGCCTGGAAGTAGTCCAAGCTGTGCGAGGTCTGGAGGCCGTCGTGGTGGATGTGGGTGATGTTGTGTCGCTGGGTCCATGGATAAGCTGGAGAGGACAAACAAGTAATTGGGGGAGGATAGAAAAGTCCGGCATCTCGGCAAGAGAGAGATGTTCGGCAGGGAGAACGAGGAGAGATAAAGTAGACTCCATTGGACGGGACGAGGCGTGTCCGGTTCCGGAATTCCTAGGCTTCGTCTCCCCCACCGCAATATGCTGTGCGCTCCGTACCAAGGTTGCCTCACACAGAAGAACCCCCACACAACCACCAGCATTCGTAGAACGCCTCCGTCTTCCGATGTTTACATCCCCGACATGAGCGCCTCGGCATCCCTCACATCTGCCACCGCGACAATAGGCCGACGGCATCGCCAACATAATCACCAATGACAAGGTGATACGCTCTTTTAACGGTGCCGAATTCGAGATGGTCAAGCCGCAGAGACCTAGCGGGGCGTTTGGAAACGAACCCGGGGTAATAATTTTCCACGCTAGTAGCTAGCGACGGTCTCGCGGAGGAGCGCCGCATGAGAAGAGGTCGGGCGGGCAGTGGGCCTTGGGGCGGGGGCCTTGGGGGCGATGTTCGCGATGTTGGGCTCGGTTTCCTGTGGGTTGTCAGATCAGCGACCAAAGTCAAGGAGAAGGAAGAGCGCGTACCTTTCTGCCAACTTTGGCGGCACCGGTCACTTTCTCAATGACGGGTGGGGTTGAAGTGAGGGCATTCGCGAGACGACAATTTGGTGCTTTGGGTGGCTGGCGACGGTGTCTTGCTGCCAGTTGTTGCAAGGGGAAGCGTGGTACTCTGAGTGCGGTCGGAATATTCTTCGTCGCTAACGAGGAAGGCGTGGAAGGTTGGTCTTTTCCGCAAGCCGATCGGCTCGGCCCCATTGCAGGAGGTTCTTCTGTTGGGCGATCGGCGGCGTCCAGCCGAAGTGAGGGTAACCAGCAGTCGTACAACGGTAACCGAAGCAGGCTGCCCTATGTGACGAAGAGAACGGATCGACTAGCCAATCTCGTTAATGTCCATGGCTAACGCCCGGCGTCTCTATGCCTCTTCTCCGTGCGCTGGCACCCGCCGGTCCACGGCGCACGCACGGAGCTGTATAGCCACGACCTCCAGGCTCTTGTCATAATCAAGCCCAACTGCTCTTTGCGTCGCGTTCTCCTGGAAAAGCTACTCGGTTTGGCACGAGAAGTTTTCCAAACCGAAATCCTCTTCCCAGAAGCACCGCAGCCCGAGTTGGGCATCGTCATCTGGATCCACTTCATGTCCGACGATAGTACGTAGCTTATGACCCTCGTCGAAGTGTGTATCGTGTTGGTGTTCAGGGCCCGGCGTTCTCGTTTGTGAAGTTCCACTGACGGCCCCTGCTGTTGGAGGCGCGCGAAGCCGCATCGGGTCAAAGGGAGGAGTCTTGTCTTGAGCCGTGTCGGTCGGGGGCAGAAGTGTCCGGTCGTATGCTTCGGGCCAGGGGCAGAGGAGTCTTATCTCGGGCCGTGCCAGTCGGGGGCAGAGGGATCTTTACCTTCTGACGTACGCATGTCGGTTGGGGGTAGAGGTACCTTGTCTTAAGCCGCAGCGGTCGGGGGCGGAGGGATACGTCGGACGTGGGCGAAGACGCATCAGGGCTTGCGGGTTCGGGAGAGACATCTATGCTCGCTCGAGAATCGGCGAGGAGATTGTGGGCTCGAGGTTGTCGGAGCGCGTTCAGGGGGAGCAGACTGCCGGACTGGGAGGTCAGGAGTGTGTTGTCGTCTCGGGGAATACTGAGGAGGAGATTGTGGACTCAAGGTTGTCGGAACGCGTTCAGAGAGAGCAGACTGCCGGACGCGGAGGTCAGGAGTGTGTTGTCGTCTCCAATACTGAGGAGGAGATTGTGGATTCGAGGTTGTCGGAACGCGTTCAGAGAGAGCAGACTGCCGGACGCGTAGGTCAGGAGTGTGTTGTCGTCTCAGAATACTGAGGAGGAGATTGTGGATTCGAGGTTGTCGGAACGCGTTCAGCGAGAGCAGACAGCCGCGTTCAAGGAGAGCAGACAGCCGCGTTCAAGGAGAGCAGGCCACCGGACTTGAAGGGCAGGAGCGTGTCGTTGTTGATTCCGTCGAGACGCGAAGTCGGGAAGTGGACTAAACGAAAGAAGAGATTTGGTGATCCTGGAGGTTGCCTATGGCGTTGACGTTCATCTTGGATTCGTTGTTGGTTCCGTCGAGACGCGAACTCGGGAAATTGGATCGACGAAAGAAGAGATTTGGTGATCCTAGAAGTTGCCTATGGCGTTGACGTTCATCTTATTCGTTGTTGGTTCCGTTGAGACGCGAAGTCGGGGAATTAGATTGACGAAAGAAGGGATTTGGTGATCCTGAAGGTGCCTGAAGGTGTCGAAGTTCAAAATGTTGTGCAAACCAGTTCTGCTGGTTTTTATATCCATTTGTTTCGTCGAGATCCGGCACGAGTTGGTGCGATCTGTCTTGTTGGCGCAGCGCGGCGCGGTGCTGCCAGCTCAAGTTCTCGACGGCGTTGCTGCCGATGATGCCGCCGGAGGGGCGGAGGGGTAGAGAAAGAGAACGATCTGCTTGCCCGCGTCGGTGTGGTGGGAGGGACTGGTCGTTGGATAGCTCGCGTCAGGACGCCGAGGGAGACATTGATCGGTATTGCCTATTCCGCGTGACCTGTTGGCGATAGAATGGCCTAGCGAGGCACAGTCGCAGGTGAGGAACGCATGAACAGCAGCGGCAATGATGTTACCGCTGTTGCCGGTGCCGTCATTGCCGGTGCCGTCATTGCCGTTGCCGTCGTCGCCCGAGTATTCCAGTTTGCCCCTCGAATAGGGCACTCACCGATCGTGGTGAAGAGGGGGGCGACAATGGCTGCAGATGAGGAACTTGAAGCCGCTTTTGCCGGTATCATACTGTGGCCGGTCCTCTTCGATCAATCGCCTGAACAAGTCGTAGCCGATGACCATGACTCCGTCGTTATCCCATCGTCAAGTGGTGGGAAGTCTGTCGCCCTTGCTTGTCACAGCCTCGAGTTTGAAGTAGTGACTAAGGAGGTCCTCTTCGATTAAGCGCTTGAATAAGTCGTACCCCAGGGCGAACTCCGGGTTACGAAGCATCCAAGGATTCTGAGGATCGTACAGGGCCGCGGCGAAGCCATCGTTCTCCTGGAGCTCCTCAGATCTGTCGTCGACGGTTTTCCACTTTGGTGCATGGATGAGCTAGTATCAGGCCGGTACAAGAAATGATGCGGACAGGAAGACAAGGCCTAGCCGATGACCATGACTCCTCCGTCGTTATCTCATCGTCGAGTTGTGGGAAGTCTGTCGCCCTTGCTTGTCACAGCCTCGAGTTTGAAGTAGTGACCAAGGAGGTCCTCTTCGAATCGCTCAAGTCGTAGCCGATGACCATGACTCCTCCGTTGTGATCCAATCGCCGACTGATGACCATGGCTCCTCCGTCGTTATCCCATCGTTGAGTCATAGGAAGTCTGTCGCCTTTGCTTGTTACAGCCTCGAGTTTGAAGTAGTGACCGAGGAGGCCGCCAGAAGGTGCCGACATCAGCGACTCATCCATCCAGTTATCGACCGAGCGACGAACCAAAGACTGCGGCGGTCACGTCTCCGGGTGAATGCCCTCGAGGGTGCGAGGCACAGCTAGGGCACTGAGGGTTGCCTTGCCGGTTGAGTGTAACCGGGGCCATGCCGACGTTTCTTTCCGCCAGAAGTGGTTGCCGTCTTCCGCGAGGCTAACCGGTTATCGAATTCGAGGTGTTGTCGAGACGGCGGGTCGTGTTCGGTCACGCGCTGCCGCGAACACGAGCGGACGCAGTCGAAGCGGTACGTGTGCCGGTGACGAAAGGGTTCTTGGTCGTAATTGATGCAGACTGTTGGTACTCTGTTTCGGTCGGGAAGTATTGCGGCGGAAGAGACGACGTCAGGTTGGGAGAGAGGTAGGAAGAGGTGGAGGTGGACGGTCGACGGTTGTGAGTGACGCTGGCGGCAGGCGGCAGGCGGCTGGCGCTGGGAGCTACTCGGTGAGGGAGGCGCGTGCCGGCCCTGCGCATGCCCCGCGCGGTAGCTAAAGAAGGCAGCTGGTCGATACTTTGTCCATATCGCTGGAAGAGCTGCAAGAACCGACGTCGTGGCGTACGAATACCATGCACTGGTCTTGCCTTTGCTAAAAAATGTCGCGTACGGATTCGACTTGGTGCTGAGCGGAAGTTGTGACGCACGATTTTTTTTTTTGGGCAGCTGCCAGGTCCTGGGGTCCGTGCTGGTACACCTCGGTTCGGTGTTAGCAGACGTCGGCGTTAAGGCTCAAGGTTGAAGAAGGGGTCTGTGGGGCTGACACCAGTAAAGCGAGGGCGGAAAGTTGGCGGCATGCGTTTTGACGCTACTTTCCGATGAACATTTAAAGTTGCAAACGGTGCAGACGTCGCTGGGTGTATCTGACTTGGAGACCAATTAAAGGTATAGCGACGAATGGATGGGGATTGTAAACTGCGACGGTGCATTTAATTGACCCTCACATCTCTGTGGCTTGAGGTGGCTTGGATGTCAGGGCGGGCGGGGTAAGTGTCCACGGTTAAGGTACCTTCCAGTACCTACCTAGGCCCGTAGGTACATCTCCCCTCACCTCGCCCAAGATTTCCCGTACGGACTCCCCGTACGGATAGGTATTCCCCGTACGGATACCCCCCGTACGGATACTAGGTTCCCGTACGGACCCTCCCCCACCGTACGGACATCTCAGTTAAGGACTATGTGCAGAGTAGACACCTCAATTAATGTCCGCATGCGCGTCGAAAATGACGCAACCAGTGTACTTTGGCACGGCAAAACTACTAGCATTTTTGGCACAATTTAATTTCTACCGTGTGGTACGAATATGCGGCATCTGCCTTGGATGTGGTGCAGAGGATGAGGTGTGGTGGGAAACGTCGCAAGTGTGAGGTAGGCAGACAGTTGCCATGTACAGCAGCTTGCCGACAACTCTCCCTTCCCGACGTGGACTTTTCCTCGATAGACAGAATGAACATCCGTCTGGCGTCGTCGGCCTGCCGATGTCTCGTGATGGGGGACTGCCGTCCACAACATGAAGCCACCCAGCACATGAAGCGATGTCGGAAGCGAGGCGTGGCGGATGCCAGCAAGGCCCCCAGATGGAAGATATGCCGAGGCGGAAGATGGACCTGGATGAGCCGGCCGACTTTTGTGCGTCGCGAGGTTAAAGTCACAGGGGGGGTGCCGCCTTCATGGAAAAAATGGTATGTTTGGAGACTAAGTAAGAGGTGATAAGTTCCAGGTGCATCGCAGCACATGCATCCTCGCAATTCAACATGCTCGCCCAGCTGACATAAGGTCGTGAATGGAAACTTTGTCTCCTTGCATGTCGAATGTGCTCCCAAGGCTTACTCCGCAAGCAAACTCAAACCTTCTTCCCTCCGAATCGAACCGATCTCCTCAACGTGCCCCCAACTCCTGCGTGACCAAGTCCAGGCAAACCTTTTGTCTTCGCCCCCTTACTGATGAGATGTTCCTGTAAGAATTACGTGGCCAACTCAGTAACCAACTCTCACACGTCCACATCCATGCTGTTCGGATCATCGCCATCTCCCGCAACGGTCAAAGCCTCTTTGGCGGCCTGTCGCACGCATTCGAGACGACTCACGATACCGAAGTCACCTAGAGCCTCGGGCATAGGCGATTCGTCCTCGACCAGGGCTCTGCAGAGCGCAAGCATGCGCGAAATCCAGAGTTGGGCCGCGTTCTCGTCCGCGTCTGCATCTGCGTCCTGCATTTCGCGCTCGCCGATGGGGCCTTGGCGATTGCACTGGAAGATGCCGGCTTTCCTAGCAGCCCCGTTACTTCCCCGCGCCGTGATGCGGGCGATATCGAGATCCTTGAGCTCCTTGTAGACTATCGCAGATTTGTTCCCGTGTGTGGGTGCGTTTGAGGATTTGACGTGGGTAGCGTTGTGGATAACGTGACTCCTGGGCGACGCTGCGCTGGCTTGATGTGCCCTTGCTGGCACTGTCGAGAGGGTTGATATGTAGTTCTTCTGGAGTTCTGCTCGCCTGCCCTCTACGTCGAAAGGCCTCCACAACGGCCGACCATCTGGCTGAACAATCGGCTCGGTTCGTCGGTGCGCCATGTCTGGAGAATGTTAGCACAAGATTGTGGTCGGTGGTTGGGGATCGGTCCTACCAAAGTTCCCGGACTGGAAGTCCGCTCACGACAAACGGTAAAGTGTGTACCCGTCGAGAACAAGATGTCGAACGCAGACAGTGGTTGTCGTCAGTAGCTCCATCAGTTCGCGGGCTTTTTTGGCAATGTGCCTGGTGGAGAAGAAGAGCACGTCGTGAGAGAGGCGGGAGGAGTAATAACGGAGAGAGCGACCATGTTGAAGCCGAGGGCAGGCGCAACCCAGGCAGGAAACATCGTCGGTAGCGCAGGTACCGCAGCCGCCGCAGCTTCCAAATCGAACACTTCCTTCCTGGGACGAGACGCGGAGCGCGTCGCACTTCAGACTTGCAGGCTTGCAGGCTTGCACTTCAAATGTTGTAGGCTCGCAGTTGTAGGCTTGCAGGTTCCACTTTGTTGAGTGTGGGTTGGCCGAGGTGGAGGTTTGTAGGCGGGGTAGGCTTGTAGGCTCCACTTTGTTGTGCACAAGCCACAGTGCAGGGAGAAAAAAAGAGTGAGGTCATCGCGAGTTACGAAAAAAAAAAAAAAACCCCAAGAAAACTCGCATCATGCAACACCGCCGCATTATTCCACGTTGCAGCTGGCGCGTCCACCGCCGTCGCTCATCATAGCTTCATCCTTGGAAATGTAAAGCAGATCCATTCCATATGGCAAGTGTGCACAATCATCGCCGAGCTCACCACAGGATACCTACTGCTTGCCGCCGGATGGATGGAGCTCCGAGGTGCCTTACGTAAGGGGGCTTCCCGCTGTACTTCAGCGTCAGTCCACCCGCAATGAATACCCTGAATTGGCATTGCACTGAGGAGGCGCACTGCTTCCTACTCATCCGCAAAAAAAATGTCGCTCGTGACATTTGCAACATGAGCGGGGACGGTCAATTGTTGAATGGAAAATAAAATGCTGTGCAGCAAGGGGTAAATGCACCCACCCGCTGCACTGCATGAGCTGCGCTGCTTCTCATTTGCTCGCTTGGAAAAATGTCGCTGGTGAGAGTTGCAAAATGCAAGTTGCAAACTTAACAAAGAGACAGCCAGTGTGCACCTGGCCACGGGCACGTACCGGCTGTCACGCCAGTCCACCCACTGCGCTGAGGCGCTGACCCAGGCAGACGCCGCAGGCTCACTTCATTCACCTCCTCATTCGCTTTTATTTCTTTAAAAAATGTCGCTGCACCAGTGACAGTTGCAAAAAGTCAGTTGCATTCTGGACGAGGGGACCAGTCCGAGATATGTGCCTTACCTAAGCAAGAAAAAGATGTCGCTGTTGACAGTTGCACCTTGGATATCTTGGGGGCGTTTGTCAGTTTCAAGACAAACAAAAAGCATGATGCGTCGACGGGGAGTCGAACCCCGGTCCCCAGCTCACTGGAACAAGTTCGAATGGAAGGCTGGGATGATAACCGCTACACTATCGACGCGGTGTGTTGTAGATCACGAGGATCTGCTGATGTCAGTTTCAAGACGGGGCCATCTAGTTCAGGGCCATTGACAATTGGAGGTCGTCAGTTAGGGCAGACACCATTGCCAGTTCGGCGCATCGTCGATTTGGGTCTTCAATGAAGAGTCAGTCCAAAGAGGGGGCTATCGCTGATTCGGAGCCATTGACAATCCGAGGTCATCATCAGTCAGAGCAGAGGCCGTCGCGAATTCGAGGCCGCCGCCGATGCGGCCGTCCCCGATTCGGGTCCGTCGCCAATTCAGGGTTTCGCCAATCCGGGAGGGTGCGGCCATCCCAACAGGAACCTCCCTCAATCATGACTTGCCAGTGTGCCGGGCAAATTCCCAGTAGGCTGCGTCTTAATTGGAGAAGTGCCTGCATCCACTGAGAGGATGTTCCGTGGTTGAGAGCGAACCCCGGCGGTGTTTGGACCGTTGTCAGCATGTTTGTTCGGTTGGTGCGTTTGGCGATGGATTGCGATTTCCAACATGCGCTGCGGCGAGATGACGACGCGTTCGGGGTCGGGCTCAAGTGTCAAGTGATGTAAAGTTAGGTCATGAGGATAGTAATCGGCAAAGGAGATTAAATGAGATTGCCTTCATAGTAGCAAAGGGCGGCAAGGTAGTGTTGAGGAGAATGAGATGACTTAGAGTTAAGTGACGGTCTTAAGGTGTGGAAATTCTCATGTAAGGCCTAGAGGTCCCCGTGTGACTAGGGGGCGGCAGGTGAGATGTCCTAATATCTTACAGTAGATATTAAAGTTCTCTACAGATGACATCTGGTTTCCTCCAGACAACATCTGGTTTTCTCCAGATTACATCTGCTTTATCTATAGATTACATCTGGTTTCTTGCAGATGACATCTGGTTTCTATAGATACCATCTGGCTTAACTACAACCACAGCCGGATTTTACGGTCGGCAACTACACTATCTAGATCCTCTTAAGCTTCTTATGCTAAAACTACTTTTTCCGACCGTAAAAGTCGACCTGTTAAGGCGGAGTGCTGGGTGGAAAAGTGACTTCGCTGACGCCCAGACGGCCTGGCGCTGAGGACGCGGGCCACCCGGTGTTGCTGTTAGGTTCTACCCCGCCTTGTACCCCGCCTTCTGCACAAATTGGGGCACCGGAAAACGGACTCACAAAAGGGAGCGAAGAAGACGGACGGGGTCGAGCGCAAGAGGAGGGGAAGCAGTGATGGGCGAGTACGAAGGCCCTCTCGGAGCTCAAGGGGAGCTTGGAGGTGTCGCAAGGAGTTTCTGGACGTCTGCTCGAACATAATCAATGGAATCAAGTAGAGGCGGCCAAGCGAGACTCGGCTGGCCGTCGAATGTGGCGGGATCGGGACGGGGTTGATTATGACATTGTGTTCGGCTTCGATCTTGGAGGTTCAGAGACCAGCGCTGGCCGGGTGTGGCTGGGGAATCGAATTGGCATCCTGCAGAGTCGGAATCGTTGTTGTTCGTCAGTCAATGGCAGCTGGGTATCGGTCGTCGGTCGTCAACTACGCCCGTGATGCAACGGCTTGGATGACATTGTTGGACGACATTGGACCACGCGATATGGACCATAACAATGAGGCTTGTGAGCGGGCGAAAGTTGAAAAGGTTCGCTGTTGACTTCAAACAAGTCGTGGTGTTTTAGTGTCATTGTTCTCTAACAGAGACAGTGGTTTAAGGAAAAAGTTGTGGCAACGCTTTACACTGTATTGGCAACTGGAAGAGATGAGGCGGGGTGGGGGAGATCTGTGATGTCATGGAGTGGGGGTGGGGTGGGATTCCAATCAGGGTTCCCCACCTGCAGCTCCCTGCCACAAATGCAATACGCCGCACAATATAATATAGCTACCCTTATAATCTAGCTATTAATATTATCTTACTATACCTAATAAGTATATATTTAATATTTAATATTCTAAAAGATTAAAACTCTATTTTAATAAGCTTTATAATATATATAGTAATATATAAATAGCTTTATTTAAAGTTAGAGGGAATAAAACCTTAATAAGAAATATTAATCTATAAGAGATTATCTCTTTTACTATTAAGATTATATTATAACTTTTATTTTTTTATTTTTTATTCTATTTACTTAAAATATCTTTTTTTTATATCTTTAGCTTTATATTAATTAATATTAATATCCTTATTAATATAATTATTAACTCTAACTATTAGCTTTAACTTCTAAATATTATTAAAAATAATTATTTCTCTTATTTAAAGTATATTAAAAAGTATTTAAAAATATATTATATTAAAAATATTATAATAAATATTATTCTATTAAAAAAATAAATAATTTAAAAATATTATATTATTTATATAACGTTATAAAAGTATTAAAACTAGTATATAGCTTAAGTAGTAGTTAAAATAAAAAAAGAGCTATTAATAATACTTTATATATTATAATATAATAAGCTATATAATAACTTTAAGCTTAATCTATTTAATACCTTAGTAATAATAATATAATATATAGAGGTATTAGTTAGGATCTAGACATATTAGATATAAGGTTAATAGTTTTAGATATATTAGGTATAATTAGGCTTAAATTAATCCTTATTATTAAATAATAGCGCTAATATAGGAAAGGTAATATATAATAGCTCCCTGCTACTGCGGCATTAGCTGTCAGCTACGCCCAACAGATGCAGCAGTCACTAGTATTCGACCTTCTTCTCTCGTCCCCTCGTGTCGTCCTGAACTCCAACATCCAAACATCAACACTCAAAGTCAATGCGACCGACTTCAAGTATGACCGACTTTAAATATAACCAACTTCAAACATGACCAACTCTAAGTATGACCGATTCTAAGTATAACCGACTTTGAATATGACCGACTTTGAATATGACCGACTTTGAATATGACCGACTTTGAATATGACCGACTCCGAGCATGACCGACTCGAGCATGACCGACTCCAAGCATGACCGACTCCAAGCTTGACCAAAAGCCAGCCAGCCATCCCGCCCGATCCCCAAACATTCGAAATTTTCGACCATCTGGGGCTGTTGTGTCAATCCGGTCCGAGGAGCTGCGGAGTTGCAACCATCAGTCTGCTCTGGACCGATGGCAGGCCTGACAAACGCGGCCCCGGTGCCCTAACCCAGAGCGATCAGGCCTATCGCGACGTACGTCTTTTGCCCAACCTGCCCGCCTATCCTTGTTCATACTTCGGCATACTGATCGCATCCTGCCTTTCCAGTTTGATGACGATTCCATTCCCACGACTAGGAGACCAAGTACCGGGCGCAATTTGGCAGGTGTTGGAGACCGGCTACGCGGCGCTTGCCAATCGTGATTCTCCGCCTGCACGACACGATCCCTCATACCGAACGAAATCATCCTTGCCGACCGAATAAGGACCATCTCTCCGATACTCGCTGGTTTGGCGATCTACGTTGCATCCATGTCTTGCCCAGGAGAGTTGCCGCGCACAAACCCACGTACATCAACCCTTCATGGCAATGGCACTCTGGAGCTGACCTCCCGATCCGATCCCTCCCCGAACAAACCGGCTCGTGTCCGCTAGCTACTCCTACCGGCTCTATGGTCAAGCCGTCGCTCCCGCTACACGTCGCCGCTGGGTACCCGGCAAGCTTCCAAACCGCCTCTCGTTAGCCTGTCTCTACGAGAGTCGAAGCTTGATCCAGAACCAGCTACGCTGAAGCTGATACTACCTGACACGGAATACTTCAGCAACGTGGTGACGTCGGCGAGACTAGGCGAAGGGCGGGACAGAACCCGATGGCGTGCGCTAGCAAGTCGAGGAGAGATCTAGATCTGCTCGCAATGGCTGAAGAAGCAACCCTCGGGCAAGGATCAAGACAACCGCGACCGATTTATTTCAGGCAAGATCAACCTACCGTTCCAACGCTATCTATGGACTCCCGGTGATGGTGCGTCGGGCGGCCCGCCGCTACCCAGCTCTGCCGAGCACGCGAACTCCACGAATGTCCGAGTTCGGCGACTGTCTCTGTCGGCGGGCGAAGTATTTGGTTGAGCCCGGCCGCCCGGGGCTTTCGAATACGGCGTTGGATCGCTACCGACCTCCAGTCCTCGAAGTCACATCGGTTTCACCGTCACCGCTTACGTCTGCAAGAAGGGCGAAGATGGCGATGATGATTGCGACAGTGTCGGCAAGCTGAACCAGGTGGATTTGGCCGGAAGCGGAAACGTCCAAAGTTCCGGCGCGGAGGACCAGTGCGGAGGACAAACGCGCTGCCGAGGCAGGCCTGGTCAAGAAGAGTCTGTTGATCCTCATCCGAGTCGTGATACATTTCGGATCTTGAGGGAGACATACGACGCCGTGGAGCCTCATTGTCTGTCTCCTGCGGAACAGCTGGGGTAGCACCTACATCTCTCGATCCGATCATCTCTATTCTGTCGACTGCGGCAGCACTCCCTTCGTATCATCGACAGAGCCGAGCGGTAATGCCGTCTACTGTATGTACACCCCGGCGATCTGCGGTCGCCACGCTTGTTCCCCGTGAACTGCTCGTTGCGGTTTCTTCCTACTAATGCCATTTAGGCCCCGCAGCCCAGAGCTTGACATCCCATACTTGACAGCAACGTGTGGGCGCGAAGACAACGTTCCTTTGATTGGAACCCGACGGAGAATACTGTTCCCTCTCTCGAAGATACTCGAGAGGTGCGCAACGCGGGGAAAGGCTGGCTTGAGGAGCAACACTGGTTTCAAGCACTTGTATCAAGCACTCTACACCGACGTGACGATGTGCCTGAGGCACGGCCAAAATGTGTGGGCGTTGTAGTGCTGTATGGAATTACGAAGATCTTCCGGGAACGAGGCTCCCTACTTCTTCCAGACAACGTGAAGCAACCCAAGGCCCACCCTCGAAACCACGTGTTCACCAGCCTGCCTCCCTGGGCCTTCTAAGTCGAGCCGATCTATCGTGTTCCGAGTGGCTTTTCCCTGTTCCCCAGTGCGCTCCCTCCTCGTTCTCTTCCAGCTTCGCTGCGCGCTCCCACGCCCCCCTCCCTAACTCCCGGGATTCGAACATGGCGACATCACACGAACGAAGCCCACACCCACGTCTGGGAACGCCGTGCATCAGAATCAGATCTCGGCCAGCCCCGGGACGAGGCCCGCGTTCTCCGTGACTGCTGGTCCAGGAGTCTTGTCGAGTACGAGAGCATGAAGAACACGAGTGCATCACGATGGATTGCGGTGCAGCATCACCCCGCCTTGGGATTGACGAGCTTGCTCACGTGTTTACTCGGTAGTACAACGTTGGAATCTTGACTTGCCACAAGGATTCCAGCCATTCGCCATGCCGAAGGAAATCCCCTTGCACGCGCAAAACTCGAACAGCGGAAGCTGCGGAACCAGCGACCATCAGAGTCCACCCGTTCAGAACGAGAGATACACCCAATGAGCCTGAGCAGTATGGATGGCGGAGAGAAGATGATGTGCTCGTCGCCCCTTGAAACCACCACCAGCCATACCAGCACTCGCAAAGTTGCACTCCACATCCCAACCTCCACGCAGCTGGCTGCCACACATCGTGGTCGGAGCATTTTCACTACTTCAGTCGCATCTTCAGACGTCGTTTTATTGTTCAGTCCGTCCGTCAAGGCGCAACTGGTAATCAGCCAGACCACTGCGCCAGTCTCGAGACCGATTTCCGTCGCTTCAACCCGACGGCTCTTAGGAAGAAGCAAGCCTACCCGAGCGTCTTGCTTGCACGCAGCCGCTGACCGTCAACGAGAGCCGATGGTGTTGCCTTGCAAGAACCCTTCAAACCCTGGCGCGCGCGCTGCGTCTCAACAGGACAGGGGACGTTCGGCTTGAGGTACCACGCTGGCGTCTCTGGATGTTTCGGGGCGATAGCTCGAGTGGCACGAAGAGTCATCTGATTATTACCAGGAAGGACGAACACCCCTGAAGACTGGTATGTACTCACAGACTGAGTCGCTTGTCTCCGTCACCTACTCGAGATGTTGACAAGACCGTCAGCAAAGCATTTCACTTAGTCGAGATACCGATGCTGGGCCTCGGTCAAGAGCGTGGCTCAAAAACGCAGCTGGGACAGCTGAGACACGCCTGCTGGACGATGACTTGGTAAAAGGTCCCTGGTCTCAGGGGCATGACGTGGCTTCAAGGCGCAGAGTGCAGCTGGAATGTACCGTTGGTATAGCATTTGTCGTTCCAGAGATGAAAGAAGCATGTCGCTGCAAGGTCCGCCGCTTTTCGTGATCGAGCCTATCCACGAGGAGGTAGGGCACTGCTTTAGGCGGCGCCGAGATCTTTAGAATCAAGCATTTTCCCGGAGGCAATGGGGTTTTCTAGTGCGTCGAGGTATACATCCTCCAAGTGGGTTTCGTGGAAAGCCCTGGCCAAGTATTCGCAACCAACTTGAGGTGGGATATCATCTAAAGAGATAAGAATGCGAAGCTGGGAATATTGCTGAGAGAATCAACAGGCGACATCGGCAAGAGATGATCCCCTGTCAGTATCATACACGTCAAACGATAAAGGTCTTAATCCATCAGAGAGAATCAAGACGTTGCCCCCCGACTGGATGATTCATTTGCATCGCTTGCTGTACCGACTGACTCAAATACACGCACCGACCTCGGACTGGATTCCTTCGAGGTCCGGAGTTGGATCTCGAATGAGACTAGCGAGACTGGCTCACCCCATCTCAGAAAGTTCTCAGAAATTTCGAGGAGGCTGCGTTCTGGCTTGAGCATCCCGTCACACTCCTCCCGAGTCCATGTGAAAGGGCTGCTTCCCTTTTGTTCCAAGGTACACCGGGCCTAGTACTCTCCAAGGCCGCCATCGCTTCTTCAACCTCCCGGAATTCCCATTTGCGGAGTCACGCGAACCGCGGGCTGCAAGCTCCAAAGCCCGCGCACTAACTTGGTGCTCCGGACACAGTCTCGACTTTGAGCGTCGAATTGGGCGTATGGGCGAACGGCTGCTGGGGCGCACATCATGGAGGATCATGCTTGTACGGAGGCTTCCGTCGAATCCTAAGCGGCTGCCTACGCAATTCGGATTTCCAATGTCCTAAGAGTTGGAACCTACTACGAGCAACCTATGAAGAGGTGGGAGACAGCACATCTGAGAATATGGGAGCGCGAGTCCTCCCCGCGGCAATCATGTCACAGCCTCGCAAGGCTTATTCGGGGCAGTGTTATTCGGGGCAGTGTGTGACTGTTTGAGAGGATTGTGGCCATTGATATCCAAATCGCGTCGTATCGTGTTGAGACGTTTTGGCTGGACAGGGTGGTCATGTATTCCAACACGGTCTCCCAGGCTTGAAACATGAATATAGAGCTCATGGTCCTGCGCCGGGGCGTGCTGATATGGGGGCTAGGTGAGGTCTGCGGATATCTGGAGAAGCTTGTGGCGAACGCGTGTGGTGGAAGAGAGCTATGCAGCAGGAGAGGCAGATAGATGTGAAGATGGAGGGAGCTTAAAGCGTAGTACTAAGGTAGCGACGGCGTATATGAGCGCAGCAACAGGAAGAGCAAGTGATAGATACCGTACTGTGGAAAGCCTCGGGGAAGAGGATCGGAATAAGTCCATTGGTTCCTCGACGACGCGGACGTCAGCAGCGGCGAAGCGTGATTCAAGATTCGCATGAGCAACGATGCTGTCATCGGGGGCATCGAGGCATGAGCGTATACCGGTATCAACACTGCAGTTGTTGCAAACATGTAGATCGGGTGTATCCAAAAAAAGATGGGAGGATTCGGGGTCGCATGTCATGTTGAAGGCTTTTCTCGACAGACTCGGCGGCGGCCGTGGTGGCACCGTTCTCAAGGTTGCACAGAGGTCTTTCGGGAAAGCGAGCGGTGAAACGAAGGACGATGTAGCGGGAGGAGGCTTCAGGTTGGTCTTTGATGTTGCTGTCGACGTCTGTGGAAAGAAGATCTTCATCTTGGAGGATCGGTGGGGTTGTGGTGATGAAGCTCGAGACAACTGGACGATTGTTATCAGAAACCTTCTTGAGTCACTGTCGGTGGTCAATCTGACTGACATGAGACAGATCCTGCGCGACTGAGTGCAGGTAGAAACGAAGTAGCTCCTCCCGAGGGAGCACCCAAGCCCATCTTCAGCGGACTTCAGGAGAAGACTGATCCGTCGGAATGCATGCAGAGTCAAAGGCGAGTGCTGGCGCACCATGGTAAATCATGCGATGTTGTTTTGCGTTCCGTTGCGTCGTATCTGCGTAGGATGCGTCACTTGACGATCCTGACGGAAGAAAAGCCGAAGAGAAGGGAACACGACCGAGTCCTAGGGACTTGGAACCAGGGATCAAGAAGGAGACAGACGAAAATTAGCAAAACAATACATGGCCGTTTGTTGTTAAGCAGCCACGCTCACCAGGAAGGCCCGTCAATGGAAGCAGTAAGCATTTGACCACATCGCCGGGGAGGGCGCGGTTCCACCAGCGGCTGGCTGTTGCTTGCATGCGGCTTCAAACGGCACCATCACCACAGCGAGAGAACTCACATCGAGGTAAGACATCAACCGGGTGAGCCACGCCCCGAAAATGGAACTGGAAAACGCGCCGTCCTGTTCCAGGGATGTGACTGTAATGCGCCAGGCACCGACGACGTGCGTCTTGTCTAGGCTTCTGTGTACCATTGACCAGAGGTCTCGACTCTTTGTAGCGATCCGACCTGTGCTGATTCGTGGCCGTGTATCATTAGGGTGACTTCTACTCAAGCTTCAAGTACTGGCTGATGAGGCATTACCTCTGAGACTCAAGTGACGACGTTCGAAATAGTAGGGAACCACGAGACCGTCGCAAGGCAGTACCTTCAACGTGTTTGGCCTGGTGCTGAGGCTCGCTTGGAAAGCTCTTCGCAGCGGAGCGACGATATTGCTTGTTCGCTTAACCGTTGTTGGAAAACCGACTCGGACCAGGACCTGAGTGATATGTAGGATGACCACGTCTTGGAACCTCTTCAGCCGGCTCAACTTGAGCTTTCCCGGATGATTGCAGCACCAGCTCTGCTGGTGCACATGAGCTCTCTTATGAACCTTGGCCAAGGACACAGTGGCACTCAATCGGATAGTGAATGGCGGGAATCTTCCGTCTTTTTACAACTTGGCCACTCGTGACTGCGAGTCGACGAGTCCGAGCGGCGGGCAACTGGCTTCGTGGAGGAGGTGGCTAGGTGGCCTCGTCAGGCCAAAAAACGGCTCCTCTTCAGGCTTTTCGTCGAGTCGTGATGCTGGAAATCAACGGCAGATCAAGGACCGTTCAAGTGTGGCACTGGGAAGTGGTGTCAGTCAGCAACACGGCCTCGGGAAGTGGTCTTGAAAAGATGTATACCACCACA